ATATTATGATATATCGGGTTAGTTGGATCGGGTCTGGAGTGGTTTTGGAGTGAATTGAGACACTTAGTCTCTAAAGTAGAAGTTTCAGTTGGAAATGTCAACCAGACATTGACTTATGTGTAAACGACCTCGGATTTGAATTTTGATGCTTCTGTTAGGTAATTTTGGACATGGGAGCGCGTTCGGAATGAGATTTGGAGGCCCATGGTAGAATTAAGTTTGAATTGGCGAAAGTTAGAATTTTGGCAATTTTGGTCGGTAGTGGAAATTTTGATATCGGGGTCGGAATGGAATTCCAGAAGTTGGAATAGGTTCGTGGTGTTATTTTTGACTTGTGTGTAAAATTTGAGGTCATTCGGACGTGGTTTAGCGGGTTTCGGCAATTTGGTAGTCTAAAAGTTCTTAGGCTTGAATCCGAGGGTAATTTGGTATTTTGATATTGTTTTGAGTGATTCAAAGGTTCGACTAAGTTCGCATGGGGTTATATGACTTGTTGGCATGTTTGGTTGAGGTCCCAATGGACTCGGGTGAGTTTCGGGTGGTTAACGGGTCATTTTTGGCCTTGGTGAGATAACTGATATGTTGTTGTATTTTGGTTCTGGTTTCCTCTTACGCGTTCGCGAGAAGGGCCTCGCTTTCACGAAGAGTGTTTCTGAGATAGTGAATTTTTGTTCTACGCGTTCGCAAAGGTGAGGACGCGAACGCGAAGGGTAGGGTCGTGTGTGCATCGCGAACGCGTGAGTGGTGTCGCGTTCGCGAAGAGGAGTAAGGCTGTTGGGGACCCTTGGTCCTTGGTCTATGCGTTCGCGAGGTGAGGGTCGCGTTCGTAAAGGTTGATCTGGTAAGGCATCACGTTCGTGAGGCAATTGTCATGTTCGCGAAGAGTAAAGCGGAGAGGCAGTCTTAGTTGGTCTACGCGAACGCGAGAGGGAGTTCGCGTTCGCGAAGAAGAAATCTGGGTAGGCAGTGTTAAATTTCAAAATCGAGGGTTTGAACCCATTTTTCATATTTTGAGCTAGAGACCACGGATTTAGGCATTTTTTGAAGGGATTTTCAGAGAGTTGATTGGGGGTAAGTGTTTCTCACTTGATTTTGGTTAAATTCCATGATTATATCTTGATTTTTATCATCCAAATTGTGATTTGGGGTGAAATATTGGGGGAAAAGTGGAAGAGTTCTTGAGATGGAATTTTGAGGTTTTGAAGGGGATTTTGTTGTAGGATTTGAGTAAATTTAGTATGGTTAGACTCGTGAGTGAATGGGCTTTCGGGTTTTGTGACCTTTGTCGGATTTTGAGATGTGGGCCCGGGGGCCGGGTTTGAGCCGATTTCGGATTTCGGCTATAATTTGGTATTTTTCTTGTGGAATTGATTCCTTTAGCATATATTAATGGTATTGTACTGCTTGTGGCTAGATTCGGGACGTTCGGAGGCCGGTTCGAGAGGCAAGGGCATTGCGGAGTAGTGATTTGCTTAGATTAAGGTAAGTAACGATTGTAAATCTGGTCCTGAGGGTATGAAACCCCGAAATTTTGTATCATTTTACTATTTGAAGGTGGCGCACATGCTAGGTGACGGGCGTGTGGGCGTGCACCGTTGAGGATTGTGACTTGGTCCGTCCTGTATTAACTGTAAAGTTGAATATTTTGTTGAAACTATGTGATTCTTATGTGTTTTAGAAAGAATTTTTGTAAATCAGGCTGGATGCGATGTTTAGGCCTTATGCCAGTGTTGTTTGGACCCTTAGAGATCTTTTCTTGCTATCCTCTCATTGTTTTTGATTAAAAAATCTATACTCAGTCATGTTTATACATATTTACAGCATAACTCTGTCTCTATTACTCTATTTTGATGCATCATATAAATGTTGTTTGGGCTGAATACTTTGTTTTCTAAGAGCCTGAGAGGCAGGAGAGGTTTATAACTGAGTGAGGCCGAGGTCCTGATTTGTGAGGATATTTATGGGATCGGGCTGCACGCTGTAGCATGTTTGATATAGGCCGAGGGCCTCATTGATTTATGCCATGATTGACTTGATATAGCGCTTGGGCTGAAGGAGCCCCTCCGGAGTCTGTACACACCCCCAGTGAGCGCAAGTACCTATTGAGTATGAGTGCCGAGTGCTGAGTGACTTGGAGGCATGAGTGATGGTGAGGTCTTTCCGAGGGGTTGTATACGAGTAATTGTGAGGTTTGCCCGAAGGGCTGTATATGAGTGATGTTGCCCGAGGGGCTGATTATGATTTCATTATTTTTGCTCACCTTTGCATTGAGCCATTGTTTGAAAATTGTTGAAAGATGTCTTTAAATGATTTTACTGGAATTGGATTTTAAAGAACTTATTTGATTCAAACTCGGGTTTTAAAAGCATGCTATATTTTACTGAATTTTTGTGATATGAACTTTACTTGCATTATTGCTCGTCACTACTTCTCAGTCTTTATTTACTGTCGTTACTTACTGAGTTGGCATACTCACGTTACTCCCTGCACCTTGTGTGTAGATCCAGGCGTATCTGGACACGGTAGCGGCTGTTGACTATTCCGGTTGTAGATTTTCTCGAGGATAGCAAGGTAGCTGCCTGGCGATCACCCTGCTCTTCTCCCTCTTATCTTTCTTTAGTTGTATTTAGATATTTTCCAGACTATGTTAGTCTCGATATTGTCAGACAAATTATAGTAGATACTCATGACTAGTGACACCCCGATGTCGGGCTTTTCTTTTCCGCACTTTTGTTTTGATTTGAACTACTTTACGAAGGTTTTTATGTTAAATAGCCTTGGCATTATCTTTGAAATGAAAATATCGGTTTGTTTTGGAAATGAGTCGGCTTTCTTAGTTCCACGATAGGCGCCATCACGACAGGGTTAGTTTGGGTCGTGACAGACTACAACCTTAGTAAATGGAATTATATGGTTTGCTATGAATAACTAGTGGACGTTTGACCTTAATGAACGAAATTATATATTGGCTATTATATAGACGGTCAATATAACTATAAAGCACAATAATGTAATTAACATTAGCGTAGTATATGACTACAACCTTAGTAAATGGACTAGTAATAGTTGCTATGAATAAATAGTGGCCGATACATATAACCTTAATGAACGAAATTATATTTTGGCTATTATATAGACGGTCAATATAACTATAAAGCGCAACAATGTAATTAATATTAACGTAGTATATGACTACAACCTTAGTAAATAGAATTATATGATTTGCTATGAATAAATAGTGGCTGATACGTATGACCTTAATGAACGAAATTATATATTGGCTATTATATAGATGGTCAATATAACTATAAAGCGCAATAATGTAATTAACATTAGCGTAGTATATGACTACAACCTTAGTAAATGGCATTATATGATTTGCTATGAATAAATAGTGGCTGATACGTATGACCTTAATGAACGAAATTATATATTGGCTATTATATAGATGGTCAATATAACTATAAAGCGCAATAATGTAATTAACATTAGCGTAGTATATGACTACAACCTTAGTAAATGGCATTATATGATTTGCTATGAATAAATAGTGGCTGATACGTATGACCTTAATGAACGAAATTATATATTGGCTATTATATAGACGGTCAATATAACTATAAAGTGCAACAATGTAATTAACATTAGCGTAGTATATGACTACAACCTTAGTAAATGAAGTTATATGATTTGCTATGAATAAATAGTTGCCGATACGTATGACCTTAATGAACGAAATTATATATTGGCTATTATATAAACGATCAATATAACTATAAAGCGCAACAATGTAATTAACATTAGCGTAGTATATGACTACAACCTTAGTAAATGGAATTATATGATTTGCTATGAATAACTAGTGGCCGATACGTATGACCTTAATGAATGAAGTTATATATTGGCTATTATATAGACGGTCAATATAACTATAAAGCGCAACAATGTAATTAACATTAGCATAGTATATGAGTACAACCTTAGTAAATGGAATAGTAATTGTTGCTATGAACAAATAGTGCCGACACGTATGACCTTAATGAACGAAATTATATATTGGCTATTATATAGACGGTCAATATAACTATAAAGTACAACAATGTAATTAACATTAGCGTAGTATATGACTACAACCTTAGTAAATGGAATTATATGGTTTGCTATGAATAACTAGTGGCCGATACGTATGACCTTAATGAACGAAATTATATATTGGCTATTATATAGACGGTCAATATAACTATAAAGCGCAACGATGTAATTAATATTAGCGTAGTACATGACTACAACCTTAGTAAATGGCATTATATGGTTTGCTATGAATAAATAGTGGCCGATACGTATGACCTTAAGAACGAAATTATATTTTGGTTATTATATAGATGATCAATATAACTATAAAGCGCAACAATGTAATTAATATTAGCGTAGTATATGACTACAACCTTAGTAAATGGAATTATATTGTTACTATTAATATATACTTATTATTATGATTTGAATTAAATAATTTAACAATTGAGGTCATAATGAACATTACACAGGGATGCTTAATTCATTAATATTTCATAATTAAATTGCTAATTATATCCCAAAGATAACTATTTGTGTCAAAATTAACATTACAAGTGGACTAAATATGCAAAATATAAATTTTAATTAGGTTCCAAATATGCATTTTACTAAACTTTATGGTCAAATATGCCTTTTTGAACGGTTGACCGTGTATATATATATATATATATATATA